CCTCTCCTCTCCTCTCCTCTCCTCTCCTCCTACCTCTCCTCCTCCTCCTCTTCTTCTCTCTTCCTCTCCTCTCCTCCTCTTCCAGTCTGCTCCTCTCCTCTCCTCTCCTCTCCTCTCCTCTCCTCTCCTCTCCTTTCCTCTCCTCAACTTTTGCTTTCAGACATTCCTGCTCTGTCTCCTCCCCGGGGAGTCCCAGAGACGCTTGAGATGCTTCATAGCGCTGGGCTTCTGTCGTCTTCTGCAAGGGGGAGGAAGTTCAGCAAGAAGACTGTCAACATGTTGTCGATTGTCTCACATCTACTGACATGATCATAGCAGTCGGACAACCTTGACGACGATCATTCAGGTGGAAAAAGATGTTTTGTTTCATGTCACACTGAAATGACATACTCTCAGATCAGTCCCATGTCGAGACGCCGAAGTCGAGCAGATCGTAATTGCAGGATGTTTCTTGTTGTTTCACTCACAGACATTGTTTCTCAGATTGCAGACAAGGGAAGCAGGAAAGACGGTGAAGCTCTCAGTTGTTGTACCTTATTCTTGTGACGACTCTACTTGTAGCTCGAGGCGAGCAGGCATGAATGGAACAAGAACGATGAAGATGCGGATGATGCAAGACATGTTGCCGTTAACGATGATTATGATCATGACAATGAACGCCATCAAAGGGGAGGAGAAAACCAGAAGCCGAGCTCTGTTTTGGTATGATTTCTGACTTGGCTCTGCGCGTTGATGACGTTTGTGCCATTCAGGCAAAGGGTCGTAGACATGAACTAGCTGCTCCTGCTATTTCATCGTCATCTTCAACCAGCACAACGCATGCTACCTTGACAACAACAAAGTTGTGTCGTAGTTGCTGCTGTTTCATCGCTCATCATAAGTGTTCACAGGGAAAGAGAGCGAGCAAGCGTCGAAGATAAGAAAATGATTGTACAGCAGATGGCAGAAGGGTACAGAAACGTGTTTTGTCGTGCAATCATGTTATGATTTCATCTCGTTTGCAGAAGTATCCTGTCAATCTTTGACGTTGCTGAGCGAATTCGGAACGAGAAGAAGAAAGATGCAATGAATATCGACACACAGCAAGCAGCAAAGTCCTCAAGAAACCACAATACAAGCACTGCTGACCTGTTCGATTCTATTAGTGTTGTTGTGTTCCCTTTGCCTTTTGACACCTACGGCAGACAACAACATGCCCACAACAAGCAAGAAACTCCCCCAACAAACAAGACAAGATCGTCAAAATCTCTTGCGCATGTAAGTTGTTTGTAATTCTTCCCTTGAAAACTCTGACTTCATCTCTGTTCGCAGATCTTGCTACCTCCACAACTTATCCCGTCAGGCGGGAGATGATGGAGATGAAAAAGGTTGTAGAAGTCAGACGGATATTATATCTGGTGCGTTGAGAAAATTCAGACGATGGAGAGGAGCAG